ATTGGTACTTCAAATTCTAAACTGAATATGTGATAGTTCTGCATTCTCACATGCCATGTTTAGGATAGCCGAGCCTATTCTAGCAACACTTGGTATGCGATGCATTAGGCACTTAACATGGACTTGGATCATGCGTGTTTGCTAACGAGTTCTTTGTTTTAGCACGGAGTACGATGTAAGTATTTCCGCTTTAGCATATCGCATGAGTGTGAATGTTGCCATGACAGCATGCTTAACATGTGGCTAGATGCTTATGTGTTAAACTGTTTTGAATGCCTGTGGGTGAAGGTTGGATTGTTTGAGTTGGAAAAACTCCGTTGAAATCCGTATTTTAGCCTACTTGCGAGTAGCAAATTCCAAAGCATTTTCAAAATGAACAGATATGCAATGTTTCTTTCCAAATTAGGCAATCTAGTCTATACTTGTTTGTTGCGCGCATAACACAGTAACGCTAGGCTAATAAATGGAATAAGAACACGTAACGTTTTCAAAATTGGATATCACGGTTAGTAGAGGCCGGTCTTCGGACCGGGCGAAAGGGGGTGCTCATAGCTGACCTTCCCCGATCGTACCCAAGCTCCCGAGCCGAGACAACTCCGGTGATGACGGACATGTGGCCTTCGGCACCGAGTCAGGGTTTCCTAAATTTCCCCATTTTAAAAATATTTAGGTGGCGACTCTGTATCTAACAAAGCAGTCCATGTTTGGCACTACTTTTCAAAAATCTGTTTCTCAATACAATTTGCTAGATTTGGACTCTTTGGTTCAGATTAAGAACCGTGACACAAATCGAGTCCGAACTGTAGCGGGGTCCCTCGCGGACGTGTTACACTTACTTGTGATTAAGTAAAGGCAGAGCATTAGAGGCCAATGGGTTTGTTACAACCATTTCATGTAGTTGAGTGGAAGAGGGAGCATGTCACGATGGACTTTGTTGTAGGTCTTCCGACGACACAACGAGGTAATGACGCTATTTGGGTGGTAGTTGACAGATTGACCAAGTCAGCACACTTTGTACCTATGAGCATGATTGACTTGATCGATTAGCTAGCCGACCTTTACATTAGGGACATAGTTTGACTTCATGGAGTCCCTATGACTATTGTTTCGAATAGAAATCCGCGTTTTATGGCTCGGTTATGGGAGAGCCTGCAGAATACCTTGGGCACCAGGTTGACTTTTAGTACTGCCAGTGAGGCCCTTGAAATATGTATTCTCTTTAAAGACCTTAATGTTTGAATTATTTTCTTAAAGTCCCTCGGTTACTTGAATTAATTCGAATCTTGTCGGTTAGCATTGCTATTTTGATTTTTATCAAAACAGGAATTACCCTAGCCGGATTAGGTTCCCTAACCTAATTTAATTCTACATAAGTTACATGAATTTAATACCACACCCTCACTCTTTATTTAAATTCAAAATTTCCCCAAAAACTAGTACTTGTACCCTCGTATCATGAGTACCATCAATCAAGTAAGATATATATATATACACCTTGAGAAGTGTGCCCTAGAACCTAAATTGATTAAAAAAATTGCCCCTTCACCCTTCCCTAGGGCCGGCCATTCTAGGAGGAAGTGAGGAGCCAATTTTCAAAGTTTATCATCATGAAATTCTAGAAAACCACAAACCTAGTACCCTAGACCTAGGATGATAATTCCAATACTAGTTCCATTTCAACTAAATGTTTCCTAAACCTATGAGTAAGCCCCTCAAATGACTCCTATTCCTTTAAACTTTAAACAAATCCTAACCTTTCCATCCATTTCCAACTAATGGGCTTTTAGGACTTTTTACATGAAAAATTGTCTATAAATACCAACATTCCCTAGCTTGGCAAGCACAAACAACACACTCACACACACATTCGGCTAGAGGAGAGGGAGGAGAGCAAGAGAGAGAAGTCTAGAGAGGAAGAGGGAGGAAGAAGAGAGCCTTCTTGTTCAAAGCTTAGCAAGTAAGCCACAACACAACCTTCTCTTTCATTTTTATTTTTCAAAGGCATGTTTCTAAGGGTTCTAAATAATGTTTTCAGATCTGTTAATGATGAGTTACTTGTGCTAAAAATGCTAAGAGTTGAGTATTGATTCTATCTCTCTTGTATTTTCTCTATTTCGGCACAAAACCATCTTTTTTTCATAGCAATCTCTCAACTTTCCAAGGGCACACTTTCAAGAAATTTTTTTCAGTTTAATATATGTTAGTTAGCATGTTTTCATCATATAAGAAATTAAAATTTTCCCTTGGTGGAACCCTTTTCTCATAAATCTTCTTGTTTTGGGTATTTTACCTTAGAATCTGTTTTTGCAGCCCACTTTCAAAAATTCTAGAAAAATGTATAAAATTATTCTGGACCTCTATTTTATGTCAAAATCTTCTTTAAGGAGTTAGATTTCAACTAAAATTGGTTTCATAGAAAAATAGCAAGCGGTTTGCAACAAAATCAAATTTTCGTAACGATCGACAAATCTAGACAGCGCTGGAATGTTTTCTAAATAACTTAAAATCTAGGAAGACTATCCCATTTCCGAAATATTTTCTAGAAACTAGATCAAATTCTCTACGAGCCATAGGAAGGCCGAGTGCGGTGAAAGATCTAAATTAGTCCTTTCATTTTAATCTTTATACGATACTAAATCTGGAAATTGTGTTATGCTGGATGTTTTATGCCCTTGAGTTCATGAGATTGCTTATTAGCTTATGATCATACCTTGGCATGAAATTATATGTATTGCGGTTATATTATTTACCTTTCTCATCTTAAGAATGCATGCTTACATGGATAATATTGTCTTGTAAGTTGGACTAACCTTGATTTAAAACATTTAATTCAACGGGAAGCCTAATAGGGAGGGTATTGGGTTTTCGAACACTTGAGTAATGAAAAGATGAGAATATGTGATATATGGTTTGTTGGGATGCATTCCCTATTTGGAAGTTAAAGTCTTGCGCAAGTGGTTTTCGGGACCCTTGAACGGAGCGGTTGTATTCGGACCCTAGGTGGTTTGGTGTGAGGAGGGATTCAGGCAAGACCCTATTTTACCGTCTCTTTTGAGGCCCTGCAGTTGGCGCTACGCAGTATATAACCGTTGGTAGGCATCCGAGATTAGTTCTGCAACAAAGCAGCAAAAGAGGGGGCATACGGAATAATACGCGTCCGACTCTTGTGGTCGAGAGGACGAAATCTCTTTGGGGGATTTCTAGTTTACTAACATCCAACTTAACTCTTTATTTATTTGAATATCATGTTTACTACTTGATGTTAAAATTGTGGTTGTGTATTGGACTGGGAAAAGGGGACGGGGTGTGTGTGTGTTTACTGGGCATTCAAAGCTCACGGCGTGTCATGCCAGGTGACGAGAGGCACTCATAGCTGGAGACGACGAGCCTGAAACTTTTGAAGACTTTTGGCTATCTTAGGGAAGCTAGAAATTTCTTTTTGATATTTTGTAAGACTCACATGAAGATTTGAACTTTCTTTTGGATGTAATGTAATGGAACAAGCTTTTGAATTAAGTATATTTGTGATTATTATGTATTTATATTCTATGTATGAACCTTATCGTTGCTTATGAGACCTTGTGTCAAGACCTTTTAAGATCTGTCAAAAGGGCAATGCGTTGCCTAAGAAAGCTGGACTTAGAAGGAAGACTAATTTGACTCCTCCGACGATCTGGGATCTTACTTGGTTATTGACCATAGGACTCATTAGTGACTCTTCCTTGACTGTAACCAATAGTGTAGAATCAGGGCGTCACAACTTGGTATCATAGCCTAGGTTTAACCCTTAACCCTCGCAACCCTATACATGACTCTAGAAGCAGTTACCCCTTTATCTTATTTTATTCTATGACGCTATTATAAGAAGATTAACTAATAAAAATCTTTTCCACCTTAGGATGTCAGCGGGAGAATACCCAGGACGCGGCGTCAGTCTCGACTCGTGGGGTACTTTCCGTATGCAAGGAAGGCGGGCCATGTCTATTAGCCCCTGCTTTAGCCGCCGACGCCGTACAAGTACCGCCGAGGAAATGATCAGAACTGAGATGCGTAAGGTGGAAACAGAATACACCCGCTATACGAGGGAGCAGAAGAGGTCCCTGGTGCGGCGCTGCCTACAATTTTTGAGCCAGGCAGTAAAGAAGGCGATCCGAATGGAGCAAGATGATCAAAGAATGGACTCCTTGATACACCAAGCTTTGATCGCTAGATCATACCACCGACCACCGACTCTGGCTGAAAGTTACGCATCTTGTTATCAGGAGGCAGGCAACAATTAACCAATGAATATGGAGCAGTCACCAGAACAGCAAGGAGCAAACCCAGCCTACCCTATAGAAGTGTCATCTGAACACAATCCCCCGTCACCAATGTACACCCCCGCTCTCCAGACCAAGCCACTGACTCTGCTAATGAAGACCCAGGAGAAGACTTTGATTGGTCGGGAAATGAGAACTAATTCGAGGAATAGTAAAACAAGACTTTTGTAAGACCCGCTAATGGGGATCCTTAGAATAAGATAGCCTGAACTTTGTAATGCGTAGATGCTCTTTGAATGTAACTCCGATATAGGAGCCCTTTTGTAATGATGCCTATTATAATATATGAATAATTTGTTGATCTATGTTATTGACTGTTACTTGCTTTAGTGCACCCTAAGGAAACTGAACCTTTATTTCAAATCTAAGTAGTAAGATTTTCTAAGACTAGAAACCAACTCACCACGTGCCATGAACAGAATGGTGGTCACGCGAGCTAATGGCTATACCGAAACCAGCAACAATGTTTGAAACTGTCCCAAAAATCAACACAGACCCATCCCCAATAACCTAGGTCATCAAATTTTGGAGGAACTAGGGCAATTAAGGAACAATCGGCAGAATGAGAGGACTCGACTCTTTTCTGAGTTTCGGAAGCAGAGGCCCCCAAAGTTCACAGGTGTACCGGACCCAAAGATAGCTGAAAATTGGCTTCGACAGATAGAGGAAATGCTAGACACCATGGGCATAACTGAGGCCGCTGATAGAATAGCCTTGGCAGTATTTGAGCTTGATGATGGGGCAGACCATTGGTGGGAGTTAATCAAGAATACTCGTGACGTAGCAAGCCTATCATGGAACCAGTTCAGGGAACTATTCCTAAATAAATATTTCCCAAGTACTATCCGCCAAGAACGAGTCAAGGAATTTCAAAACTTGGAACAAGGAAATATGACCATGACCCAGTATGTTGCAAAATTTGAAGAGCTAGCCCGTTACGCAACTAGATACGTGGCAAATGATGAAGAGAAGGCAAGGATGTTTGAGTGGGGACTGGACCTTAAAATCAAGGGAAGAATTCTTCCGCAACGACTCCCCTCATATGCCGAGGTGCTAGAAACAACATTAGAATCTGAAAGTGAAGTGAATGATGCCAGGAAGGCTTCAAACAAGAGAAAAGGGAGTCAGGTGTCTATTGGACCTCAGAGGAACCCAAAAGGAAGCATGACCTCAAAACCCCACTCCAGACCACAACCACAACAGCAACGACAGCAACCGCAGCAACAGATCCAGAGAGGAGGCTATCAACAAAGGCTGATGGGACAAATCCAGTGCTTTCATTGCCAACAATTAGGGCACAAAAAGAGCGAATGCCCCCAACTCCCTCCATCTAGATACCAAGGAGGAGGTTCCGGAGCAAATACCCAGTCATTAGGTGGGCAGAAGCCTTGGACGAATAAGACAGGATCTACTGGGCAACAGCACCAGAAGAGTAAAGGAACTCAAAATGCCAAGACCAGTGGCAACCAGAAGGCAACTGGCAAAATCTTTGCCCTGCAAGAGGAAGAAGCGGACCCGTCTGTAATTGAGGGTAATTTAGTACTATACAATTCTTGGGTGCATGTTTTATTTGATACTGGTGCATCACATTCCTTTATATCCTTTGCTTGTGTTAAGTTATTAGAACTTGTATGTGAACCCTTAGCAACTGCCTTAAGTGTAATGTCACCTATGGAAGGATGCGTTCAGGTAGGATCGATCTGTAAGGACTGTAAGATAGGGATGTCGGACGTATGCTTAACTTGCGACCTTCATGTCATGGAAATGTAGGACTTCGATATCATTTTGGGCATGGACTGGTTGTCCACCCACCGAGCGGTGATCGACTGTTGTCAGAAGAAAGTGGTAGCTCATATGCAAAATGGGACACGTTTCCTGTTTAAGGGGGATAGACAAGACCCCATGGTTTCAACAAAACATCGGATGCAGTGGCACGATCAACTTGCGGGTAGAATAGCAAGTCTGATTCTAAATGAGAAGGGCCAAGGAGAAATAGAACTTCCGCGCGTAGTATACGAATATGCAGATGTATTTCCTACGGAATTACCAGGATTGCCACCAACTCGGGAAGTAGACTTTAGCATCGAGCTACAACTTGGAACTACCCCAATATCCATGGCTCCATATCGTATGCACCAGCAGAACTACGAGAATTGAAGACACAGCTACAGGAATTGCTCGAGAGAGGATTCATTAGGCCACGTAGTTCGCCATGGGGAGCACCCGTGTTGTTTGCTAAAAAGAAGGATGGGTCGTTGAGGCTATGCATTGATTATTGTCAACTCAATCGAGTCACGATTAAGAACCGATACCCACTCCCAAAGATTGATGACCTTTTTGACCAACTTAGAGGCTCAACGTGCTATTCAAAGATCGATCTCAGGTCAGGTTACCATCAACTACGAGTGAAGGAGGAGGATATACCAAGAACTACCTTTTGTACTAGATATGGCCACTATGAGTTTGTAGTAATGCCCTTCGGACTAACCAATGCATCGGCCGTATTCATGAACCTAATGAATAAGATCTTTAGACCATACCTTGACCAGTTTGTAGTAGTGTTCATTGATGACATCTTGGTATATTCAAGGTCTGAAGAAGAGCATGAGCAACATTTAAGGACAGTCCTTCAAGTTCGTAGGGATAATCGGTTATATGCCAAGGCGAGTAAATGTGAGTTTTGGTTGAATGAAGTAAAATTCTTAGGGCATGTGGTATCAGAGAATGGGATTACGGTGGATCCAACCAAGGTGGAGGTAGTATTAGATTGGAGACAACCAGAAACTGTGTCAGAAATCTGCAGCTTCTTAGGATTCGCCAGTTATTACCGGAGGGTCATCCAAGATTTCTCCAAACTAGCTAAACCAATGACTCGTTTGACGCAAAAAGGAGTAAAGTATGAGTGGGACGAAGCTTGCGAAAAATCCTTCCAAGAGCCAAAGAAGAGACTAACTAGTGCGCCAATTTTGACCATTCCAGAATGAGAAGAAGGGTACACTATGTATTGCGATGCGTCTAAAGAAGGGTTAGGTTGCGTGCTCATGCAAAACGGAGTAGTCACGTATGGATCCAGGCAATTGAAACCTCATGAGCATAACTACCCAACAGATGACTTGGAGTTAACAACTGTAGTTTTTGCCCTAAAGCAATGGCGACATTACCTATATGGGGAACAATTTGAGATTTTCACAGATCACAAGAGTTTGAAGTATCTATTTACACAGAAGGACCTTAACTTGAGACAGAGATGATGGATGGGTATCATGAGGATTTCCAGTTCACTCTCTCATATCACCCCGGTAAAGCCAATATAGTAGCCGATGCTCTAAATCGCAAGAGCAGAGGGGTGATGGCTAAGATCTCTGTCAAGGAATAGGATATGGTTACGACACTCAATGAATTCAGGATCCAAGTAGAATCTCAAGATACAAAAGCATATCTTACTGCGCAAAAGGTGATGCCTAAGTTAATGAATGAGGTCATGGAGGCCCAGAAGCACGATCAAGAGGTAGCCTATATCAAGGGACGTCTGGAATCGGGAGAACCCATGCTCGATTGGGCAATTCACCCCGATGGGAGTTTAAGATACCAAGGAAGATTGTTTGTACCAAGTGACGAGTTACTTAGAGAAAAGGTATTGAAGGAATGTCATCATTCTGCATTTGTGGTGCATCCAGGAGGGACCAAAATGTACCAAGATTTGAAGAGGCAGTATTGGTGGAATGGAATGAAGAAGGAAGTGGCAAAATTTGTAGCAAAATGTCTGACATGCCAACAAGTGAAGGTGGAACATCAGAAACCAGGGGGAATATTGCAACCTTCGCCAATAGCTGAATGGAAGTGGGAGTATGTGACGATGGATTTTGTGACAGGGTTGCCTAAGTCACCTAGAGGGCGCGATGCTATATGGGTAATAGTGGATCGCCTCACCAAGTCAGCACACTTCTTACCCTATAAGATGATCGACACTTTAAAGTCTATGTGTAGGCTCTACATTGGGGAGATAATTCGACTACATGGAATTCCAGTATCTATTGTGTCAGATCGTGATCCACGGTTCACCTCTCGATTTTAGGGGAGCTTGTAGGAAGCTCTTGGTACTGAGTTATGTTTTAGCACCGCCTTTCACCCGCAAACGGATGGACAATTTGAACGCACTATCCAGACACTCAAAGATATGTTGAGAGCTTGCGCAATGGATTTCAAGGAAGTTGGGAACGACACCTACCCCTAATTGAATTTGCCTACAACAACAGCTTTCAAGCTTGCATCGGTATGGCGCCCTTTGAAGCATTATATGGATGACCTTGTAGATCGCCGATTTGTTGGACGGAAGTGGGTGATGCAAATTTGATAGGACCCGAACTTGTTCTGGAAACTACTGAGAAGGTCAAATTGATCCGACAACAGTTAAAGATTGCTCAAGACCATCAAAAGAATTATGCAGACAGGAAGAGAAGACCATTGATGTTTGAAGTGGGCAGCCACGTGTTCCTAAAAGTGCAACCTAGTCGTGGAGCCGTACATTTTGAGAGAAAGGGGAAACTGTCACCACGATATATTGGGCCTTTTGAGGTATTGGAAAGAGAGGGAGAAGTAGCATATAGACTAGATCTACCCCCGCAGTTAACAGGAATACACAATGTCTTCCATGTATCTATGTTGAGAAAATACATTGCTAACCCGTCACACGTCCTCAAATGGGAAGAGATCAGTATTGACAAAGACATTACATTTAACGAAGGACTGGTATTTGTAAGACATGAGATTGGGCTAATTATAATTGTCAACCCTTCGAATCATAGTTTACGGGTAAAAACAAGTAACGTTTGGTATTTGTAAGACACCCAAAATGGGATTATTTTTGAAATATATAATTTGGGCACTTGATTTTTCTGATCATATGTTTATTTACCTTCAACAGAGAAGACAATCATATTCAGCAAAAGCCTTAGATTGTCATGCAACATAGAGAATGATAAAGACTTTGGCATTGCCTTACAAAGTATGTGCTTTTCTTTTAGTTAACCACAACCTTAATGCAAAATTGGTGATTTGTTTTTGTGTGTGTGTGTGTGTGTGTGTGTGTGTGTGAAAACTACTCAGCAAATTTGAAAGCAGAATCTAGGTGGTTATTTCATTTATTCTCCAATGCAAAATAGAGAGCTCTTGTAGCATATGCATAGTATATAATACATGTATACTATGATAGATGGTACTATTACAGTAGCATATTGATGTAAGAAACATGGACGCTTCTAACAATATCTCCAAAACAACAAGATAAAAGGATGAAGAATTAACAGAAATCCACCAACAATATTTCCAGTTAATGAAACAATGCAGCACTAGATTTGTTTTATAAATATGTACATATATATGTACATCATAAATTACAGGTTAAAATATTTTCATATTATATAAACCCCAAGATTTGGCACTATTTTCAAGAAAACTTTGGCACTATTTTCTCTGCATTTCTAAAATTGCAACCTATCTTTTGTGTTTCAAAACCAAAACTCACAGAAGATAGGAATTACAGAATCGAATCCGGCGGAGGAAGGAAGATTGAGGAGACTGATGGGAAAAGGGTAGTAACTAGAGAGAGGGAAGTGGCCAGAGAGAAGGGCGTGATTGGCGCTGCTCGCGATCGATTGTGCGAGAGACGAAGGGGCAGCGCTGTTCAAACATCGCCGTTCAAGGAAGTGTAGTCGGCAGTGCAAGAGAGCAAAAGGGAGAGGGAGGGGAAGAGGGAGAAAAGAAGACATACCTCACCTCTTGCCATTTGAGGTCTTTAAAGTGAGAGAATGAGATGGAGCAATCTAATGATAGAGGAGCAAGAGATGAGATGACGGGTGGGTGTGTTAGGGTTTAATTTGGGAATTGGTTGTGTGTGTGCGTGTGTGTGTGTGTGTGTGTGTGAAAGAGAGAGTAATAAAACACTTATTTAAATGTGTGATTAAAAAAAAATATTATCTCACTCATTAAATTAAGTATGATTGAAAAATCATTTTAGCTTTTTTAATCACACTTTTAATAAAAGTGAGATATTTTTAATTCTTCTTATGTGATCTTTAATCACATTTTAATTAGAGTGTGTGATTAAAATATATATATATATATATATATATAATCACACTTAATTGAAAAGTGATATAAATAATAAATATTATCACACTTAGTGAAATCAAGTGTGACTAAAATATCAATCTAATTTTTTTTTATTATACTTTCAATATTACTTTATTCACTAAAAGATATGTCTTTCGTGACAAAATTTATTTTCGTCATTAGCTTTCATCACCAAAGACTCTTTTTGTTGCAGTGTGGGAAAAAAAAATTAATATATATATATATATATTTTTTTTGGCGATTGGCACCCCAAATTTCATTTTGGTGCTTTTTTATCATACAATTCACGATATGGTGTGTCGTAAAAAGGCAATACTTTTAATGGCAGGCGATGTGTGCGTCGTAAAAAGTGAAATACTTTTAACGACAAGCGTTATGTGTGCACTTTTCATGGATGGCGTATGTGCGTCTTGTATAATTGATGTATTAATGGCACACCATATGCACATCGTAGAAAGGTTTATTATTTATGGTGTACATTGTAAGCCGTAAAAAAATCATGTTTATTACCATTCATGGCCTACGCAATAGACATGCCATGATTGGAAAAGTATTTACGACGTGGAAAAAAAGCAAGTCATAAAAGTGAGAAACTACAGCGTGCATTTATTGTATACCGTTGATGTGGTGCCATAAAAAGTCAGTTTTGTTATAGTGAATGGGTGACCGGTGGATGGGTCATGGTGATGAATTTGAATTATTATCATTGTTGTATTGGTTTAAATATGGTTTTAGTGTTTGGTTAAAATTTCAGGGACGAAATTTCTTAAGGGGGGAAGTTATAGCAATTTTGGTTTAGACCCGAACCATTTGATGTTTTGGATCCGGGTTTCATTGTCTTATATAGCTATTCATGTCTTGTTTCCCCTTATCTCTCTTTGAGTTTGGCTATTGGGATGTGTTGGCTGCATTTGGAAGAGGTTGGTAGCTTGTTTTTCAAACTGTTGTTAACCAGAATTTTATTCCTTCACTCGAGCGACACTTCTTGCACTCGAGCGGTCTTTGTGAACTCTCAATACTTTTGC